AGCAAGATATGGACCGGAACAGTGACATTATTTCCTTCACAGTGATTCTTGTATATTTTAAACACTGCAGACTTTACTTTTACAAAAAAGTAAACAAAATATTAAAAATATTGCCAAATTTTGTACCAGATTTCACTGTTTGCTGGTTTTGTTTGTAAAACATCTGTTTTTACAAATATACATGTTACATTGAAGAGGTTATTTTTAATGAAATGGTGTTCATCAGTTCTGAGCATTGGCTGGCAAGGGAGGGACTGAAAGACGCGGCTTCGTTTCATTTCAGATGACGTGGTCGTGGTACCCCCTCCCCCCAAAATCTCTCGTCCATCTACGCCGCCGCCGCCTGCTATATCGAGCAATGACAGTTCTTCAGCACCTGTCAGTTCAAGGTCTGACCAGTCGTTGTCTATTGAGGAAACCAACAAGTTACGGGCACGTCTCGGCCTTAAGCCGCTTCGAATTGAAGACTTTTCTGCATTTAAGGAAGATGGCACAGAAAAGAAAAAGGATTTGGACAAAGATGGTGGTACTGATATGGGAGAATTTGTTCACAAACCAGCTGGTAAGTTATCTGATTTTAAGGTAATTTCTGTTTCATTTTCAATAATCTTATACTAGAATATGTGATGGCTGTTATGCAGTTTTGACCTGAACTTATTATGTATATAGATGTTTGATAACACACGTATCAGTTTTTTGGCATGATGGCCCTCTACAGTGTTTTAAATTGTGACACTTTTCATTTTAATTGGAATAGTTGTTAGGAAATGTCTGAACATTAAGCGTCCAAGTCACCGAGCTTCCTATCTGGTGGGTGATGGGTTTTTCTTGTTAGGGATAAGGCACCCAGGGCATGAAGCTAGCCTCTCACATCTTTCTGGTTACGAGGAGTTAACACTGCCACTCTCAGTTTGTCACTATGCTATGGTATAGCGAAGTACCAGAGACAAGTTCCCCTTCACCTGTACTTTTATCAGGTTGTAAAATCTAAATTTTGTGAACATGAATTAGACCGATTGACCGATTTTAAGTATGTGAACCAGAGTGTTAACCCGCATATTTATGTCATTGAAAAATATTAAGAATGAGGATGTTTTACGTTCGTAACATGTAGTCTCTGTGCAGACAGAGAATTAATGGACATTTTGTGACTTCAACAAGAGATTCGGGGTAGAACAGGTGGCCTGTGGGTTCGTTACGTGAAGCTAGAGCATTTAATGCCATTACACCAGCAAGTACTCCCTGTTACATTAAACATTGCATATTGCTGGGTAAGTAAAATTCATGGTGGTTGGGGAAGAATTATCACTTTTGTCCACAGACTTAAATTATTGACTACTTGCTCAGATTTTAAAGTTTTTTTTTTTTTCTTAAGAAAATCTCTCTCAGAAGGCCAAAAGTGAGAAATTGAAGCAGAAAGTAGCAGACCATAAAGAAAAGCGGTGGATTGAGTCAAAGTTATCTCATACTAAGTTACTGGGCGAGTCGTGCGAGGACGACGACTCCGCTCAGGCTTGGGTGAGTCGCAGTCGCAAAATGCAGGAAGAGAGGATACAGGCTGAGAAACGGGTAAGTATTTTTAAGTGCCTCATATGTACAGGCATTCTTATCCCGTTGCTCCTGACAGTAAATACATTTAAAATTTAAGCCATTGATACCTAAAATGCTCATATTTGATTTTTCAACCAGCTGTAACATTGCGCATTCTAAGGCATTTATCTGTAAATTATTTACTTAAAATTGTAATTTGTTATCAGTTTTCACTATAATTAATTGTAATGTCCTCGGATTTGTTTTATTGGCGTTGGAGTTTGGTTTAAAATCAACCACATGTGTAAACACAATTTATTTTCTTAAGCTGTTCAGCTGATTGTAGTTTAAATATTCATGTAATTCTGAAATAAATTTTGTTTCCTCAGGCAAAAGCTCTTGAGGAATTGGACGCAGAATTTGGCGTAGGTGACCTGGTGGAGGATGAGATGAGAAATGAACGAAGAGAAGCGTATTCTTCACGAGACTTGAGAGGCCTCAGAGTAGAGCATACAGTCGTGAGTATTATATTAGTACATTTCGTTATGTCGGCGCAGACGTATCATATTGAAGGAGTTAGTGAGAACTTCTGAAGATATGCACAGAATCGGTAAGGGCTTCCACCACTCATGATGGACGTTGTCAGTTGTTAGCTTTCCGGTTTTCAGCTCTTCCTTTGGCAGCATAAGTCGGCTGTTCCGTGGCCTGAATGTGCGTATTGTTTGTTGTATTAATCAGACGAAGTTATACTTCTCAGAAACCGCGCACATGATGGACAGACCAAGTTAAGAGAGATGTAGTGAGGAGGAGGATGAAATGCAAGATGGGCACATAGAGACAGTTGGAGACTCCTATGAAGAGATGGCCCACGAGCGTGGAAATCGCATAAGGAAGAAGAAACTCGTCAGAAAGCTTAGAAAAGAGTGAGCTTTTTGTTGCTTGTTTCAGGATGGATTCTCTGAAGGGAAGACAGTGATACTAACATTGAAAGATCAGGGAGTGTTGGATGAAGGTGATGATGTCCTTGTGAATGTTAACATGATCGATGATGAACGGTACAAAAAGGTAAGAGACTACTTTCAGTTGCATAATTCTGATGCACGTGATGTACCCAGCAAGTATCCCAGTTTTGTTGATGTATATTACTTGTCTCAACCAGATTTATTTTACTGCCTGCCCTGTTTTTCAGTGTCAGTGTTTTTTACAGTTGCTGAACGAGTTATGCCTCGAAGTCGGCCATGGTGTAAGCCCTAAAATAACATTTTGTCAGTGCGACACGTCACAATATAACAGAAAGTTTGTATTGGCCAGAATCCGAGCTCTCATTCTCGTGATCATGTAATTAAAGAAAGAAATGTAATTTTAAAGAAATGCTTGGAGTATAAGTACAGTAAGTGCAGAGGACGCAAAACTGTAGCACATTATGTCCTTTCTTACATCCTTCAAATAATCTCCTCAGCGCTTGCACCGTGGTTGTCAAAATGCTGAGACTTGCCTTAATATGAAAGCGAAAGAAGACGAATGACTGTCTAGAGTGAAGAGATGTGTGTCTGTGTGATTTCTATCTTTGTTTTTCTCCTTCCAGAACATAGAAAAGAAGAAACTGAAAACAAATGTTCATGGTTATGATGTACACAAAGAAGATGATGAGCTAGAAGACAAACCATCAGTACTAAGCAAATATGACGCAGAAATAGAGGGTGAAAAGACGTCAAGCTTCGCTTTGGGAGAAGAGATGTCGGAAGCAGCCCGGCGTCAGAACTTGCAGGTCGTGAGACTGAAGCTTCAAGGAAAGACACTTGTCTCTCTAGATCTCCCTGCACCGCGGTTAGCCTCAGAATATTATACAGAAGAAGAAATGTCAGTGAAATTCAAGAAGCCCAAAAAGAAGGTATTTTAACTTAAATATCTCCATAAATTATATGTTCTTTGACGTACAGGTCATATAAATATTGCTTTGTAAGTGTTGGCATTGAAGGCTTATTCAGGTACGCCAAGAATTGTGTTGTAGTTTGAAAAAAAAAATTAGGTCGAAGCAATTCAGAAACTTTTCTGACAGTATTTTAAGCTGCGTATTTGTGGCATGACATATTAATTTACGGCTTATTCTCCGTTAATTATATCCGGGAGCAAGATGTGCCTTATATTGTAAATGCCTGTCTCATATGTCATGAAGTCAACTTCTGGCGGTATTCAGTTATGAAGTCGTTATCGTCAGAGAATACCCCCGAAGCAGATAGCACCTCCACTAAATATTAGGACATATTGGAAGTTTCGTACTAAGTGAGCAGTTCTCATAGTTCTAAAGGTTTGTCTGGTATGTTGGACTCTTTCTTGGACAATCACCTGGATATGTTCGCCAGGTACGGAAGATTCACCGAAAACATTTGAAGGCTGAAGATTTGGAACCAGATAGCGATTGGACTCGTGATTTAGGGTCTCGCTCTTTGAGGGGAAGTCAACTTTCTGCAAGTGGTGATTCCAGTGAAATAGAGCAAGTTAAAGTGAAACAAGAAGTTGATGATGATGATGATGATGACGACGACGATGTGGTGGAAATGAAGGAAGTTTTAAGTAAGCGTGGTTTCGTTAAATTACTCGTAGTATTAGGAACAAAGTAATTAGAGAGGGAAGAACTCGTGCGCAGTGAAATCTCCTTACTGCATACTTTACGTTAAATTTCCCGCTTAAACTCCATATAAATAAAATACAAATTGTTTTAGTTTTAATTATATTATTCTGTCATAGATGTCGTTATAATGCTAAGAATTCGTTGTCTGATTACTTATTTATGTCAGAGTCTGAGAAAAATGGAAGCTGGGGTGCAGGGATAGCTTTACTTTGAATGTTAATGACTTTCAGACACAGTTGATGCGCAGTCCAAAATCAAGGTTGAGCCTGATGATAGTGAATTGGAGCTGCAGTTGGCCCTGAAGAAGGCACGGAAGTTGAAGCTACAGGAGGCTGTCACAGAATCAAAGAACAGCATAGAAAAGGTATATCATCTGAAGTTTTAAGGTGCGGCAGTTTAAATGTCACAGGTTAAGTTCTAGGATGCGTTGCTGTGCGGTCTTGTTGATGGGTACCGGTGTTCTTGAGAATGTATTACCACTTTACCTGGAAGATGGTGGTGGTACATTCCTCTGAAAACCACTGTACCCCTAGAGAAACATTGCAGTTCATTGTAACCTGAGAACTATTCAGCTACCGCTTTTTTCCCATGGATTACTAATTCAATTACTTGTGTGGTTATTGAACGCTTATAAATTTCATAATTTCTTTACTGTCTGTAATTTTATATTTTTTTCTGTATATTGATCTTAATTTCCATATTAGAGGATCTTTATAGCCACATTTTTTGAATCTTCATGATCTGCTTAATAGAATTTTCTTGTGCGTGGTTGAAAAGGTGGCTAAGTCTATATTGGAAAGAAACTCGGAAGGTAACGTGGAAGGCGGTTCCATTGTGCTGAATGCCACGGCGGAATTCTGCCGTACGCTGGGTGACATCCCGACTTACGGTTTGGCTGGCAACAGAGATGAAGATGCCCAGGAACTGCTTGTGAGTGTTAAATAAATGAATTTTTCCGCACAACACAAGCTGTAATTTACTTTTCTGGAGATTCATGGAAAATTGTTTCATTGCAGGAAAGTACAGAAATAAGAAGTTTTGGCACAAAATATGCATTATATTTAGATTTAAAAAAAAGTCTGGTATTTTCTTTCAGTGTCATTGAGGTTTTATTATTTTTGTGCTGTAGAATTGCGTTCAGAATGTACATGAGGTACTTGAATTGCAGGACTTTGAAAGAGAAATGATTGAAGAGAAGAAACGCCAGGAAGAAGAGGGCAAACGTGGGGCTTGGAATGAAGTTGAAATTGGTAAGCGTTATTTCTCTATAACATATTTGTACGTAGAGGATTGTGTTTCTGTTGTTTCTCCCCTCCATTTTACAGAGGGTGAGGAGGAAGGGTGTTTATACCGTGAAATTCGTATTAAATGATTTTAAATCTAAGGTTTACTTTTAGTGATACTGTATGAGTAATCTGACTGTCACATTTCCTCCATTTAATTGACATTCTCTTAAGTCCAACAGAGAAACGCTCTGTGGTGAGTTGTTTGTTTATTTGTTGATTTAAACAGATGAAACGCCAGTAGATGTGCTGCCTGCTGAAGTACCGATCTTGGACGTGGAACCCGACGTGGGTGTCGGAGTTGCCGGCGCTCTCCGTTTGGCAGTCAGTAAGGGTTATCTGGAGCGCGAGGATATGAACAAGCCCTCGGCTTCGCGCTTTGCTCACCTCCAAGCTCAGAACTATTCCATCGAGGACAAGACACACATGTGAGTACCGACAGTCGGTGATGTGAGTGACGTAATAAAAAGGAGAAGAGCATTCATTGTAGCAGTGGCATATGTACACGCACGTACACCTTACCTTTAATAGAACTAATCCATTGTAGATGTCAAGACTAATAAATGTAGCGTACAGTATTGCTCTTTTTCTTTCAGAGATGATGATAAGTTTGGTCGTCGTGAGCGCTACAGCGGCCCAACTTCTGACTTCAAGGAGAAGGATGGTTATAAACCAAATGTTAAACTTGATTACATTGATGATGATGGACACGTACTTAATGCAAAAGAGGCTTTCCGGTGAGCACCGATTAGCGGGCGTCGTTACTTTTTATGAATGTCACATGGGGTTAATGTTAATCTTCACAAAAGTACAAAATGAGGGGTAAAATTATAGTTTTGTATATTTTAATCTATATATTTGTAGTTGGGAAACACAAAGACCAAAGAAATTCAGTGTTACAAAGCGCTCTTAATTACATCTGCTCGTCATTTCTTGTGAATGCAATTCTGAGTTGCTTCTGTTCCCAAATATTTTAATTTTGACACGCAACACATCAGCAAATTGTTTTAACACTGTTTTCCTTTGTGATTTAAGATATCTGTCTCATAAATTCCATGGAAAGGGACCAGGAAAGAATAAAGTAGAGAAAAGAATGAAGAAAAATGAACAGGAAGGGGTGAGTATCAGTCTGTACTTGGTCATCATCTTTTGTTTCTAAATAATTTCAGTATCAATTCCATAATTGTTTGTTGTCTCACGTACTAGATTGATATCCATGTTTAAAAGCTTTCACGGCGACTGAAGTTGACGAAAGATTCCCGGTTTACAAGCCACATCGGGTGGCTGAACGGTGAATAAACCATTTAAAAGAAGCCATTGAGATCCACCTGAATGACAGCTTCAACAGGGATGATGGTTTCACTCTGAGCCGGGTCCATGACAAAACTGCCCAGAAGGCCGAGCCAGATAGTGTGAGCATGTGACCTCGACTGCCAGTTCCCATTGGCCAGCACAAAACAAAGCAACAGGCGGGCTACCTGGCGTATACCGCCAGTTTCCCATCAGCAAACACGCAAGAACGGATCAGAAGCAGCCCTGAGGATGAGAGCAGAGATTGTTGTCGAAACATTGGCAGAAGATACGGTTTATTCACCGTTCAGCCGCCTGACGCGGCTCGTATTCCAGGAATCTTTCAGCATATGTTTGTAGATAAAGTGGCTTTTAAAATTATTTCCCTCTTTTCATGTCCTAGTTTTCTATTATCTAGAAACTGTTCTGTAAATTTCCTACTTTAATGTACGATTTGTTGCGACGGGCAGTAGTCCAGTTGTACGCACAGCTCTTGTTTACAGTTACTGCTTTTGTTTCTAGTTAATGAAACAAATGAGTTCAACCGACACGCCACTTGGAACGTTGAACCTCTTGCAGCAGAAACAGAAAGAAACGCAATCTCCATTTGTGGTCCTCAGCGGTAGTAAACAAACGTAAGAACCCATTCACTCATCTAAAAGAATAAGCGCTTCTAAAAAGTATTTGATGAAACAGGATGTGATCAGTTGGTACTGAATGTTCCATTAAAATGCATCGTGACGAATTAAGTTTTTTGTAGTTACTGAGATTTGTATCCTCATTACTTTGTAAATTGTACTAGCAGTTTTCATTACTTTGTGTAGACGCAGACTGCGATGTTTAATCTAAAAAGGAGAATGCCTTGTGATGCTTTTGTGAATCATTTCTTTGTCATGTACATTCACGTGTTTTGTTTCTTTCTCTTTCAGAGCAACCATCTCAAAAACAAAGTTATAATTCCTTCATGAACTACGTTAAATGGCATCAAGCTTTACAACCCTAAAATTAATTCTGAAACTTCAGTTTTGTAGAATCTTATTGGCTGGATTACTATGCTTTATTTTTAAATTCAGCGAATAAGGAGCATCGCAGCTCCTAATACAGTTCACGAATGTCGTGTGTTACTGGTGTATACAGTAGGGTGGTGGCCCTGTCACGCCTGCAAGCTGGAGTGGTTGAGAAGTGTAACTTTTAAGCGGCCCATACACGTACGAGTCTGGCTCAACGAGCTTGACTCGTGAGCCGGGCTCTGATGTATTTCACCACGCGTGCGTAGCGGACTCGGCTCTTGACACCCCACCCACAAACGAGTTTGGCTCGATGGAACCCGAGCCGAGCCAGACTCGTACGTGGACGGGCCATTTTAGTGGTAGTTACATTCTTGTATGACTTGCAGCTGATGAAAATTCTGTAAGCTAAAGTGGACACACGTAGTAAAAGTGCAGTTGTTTCTTACTGAATATAATGTTTGAATATGCACATTCAAAGAAGCGTCGCCATATAGACTTGTGCAATAATAATGGTGGATCATGACATTCTGTAAAACTAATCTTACGGAAATTGAGGTGAGTCGGCCCGTGTTTGTTCGCACACAAAAATATCTACAGACTTTATTTTACGACAGTTTAATATGCAGTCCTCTGTTCAAACTTCTGGTAGTTCTGTATTAGTTACTAAAAAAAAATGAGCAAAGTGTTGAAATAAATAATCTAAGATAAAATGCTTTGAAGAAGAACGTAAAACATAAACGTGAAGAAAGTTCACGGTACCCCTGGACTGAAATCTCTGAATTATTAGGCAGAGTTTCAAATATCCTGATGTGTTGCTGATAATCTTCACTTATACGAGATTCAGAGACAAATGTTAGAGCTACCTCTTGATGGTTTTGAAACAGAAATTGTAAAGTAAAATCACAGCCTATTATGTAGGATCCCTCAAGAAGAACGCGTTCATTTTATACGAAGTTCCGCTCTTCGTCGACCTTGTAGAGATGACCGTGATTTGTGATGTTCTTCCCCAGATCAGATCTGCTTATGGTTATTGATGCTTAGTATTATCTGTCCTCACCAGCGACACTAGTAAGTCATTAATTTCCGGCTAATTCAGACTTTGAGCGCTTCATGATACCTGCCAAAAGCGACTGAAGTCGTACTTCCTCATTAGTCACAAGAAAGGGGAAGAAATGTTTTATTTTGAGAGCATGGATTAGGAGTTGGAATCCAGGAAGGATCAGTGGAGCCTGAAGGTGGTGACTTGATTCTTCGGATTGTTGCATTAATATACTTGCAATTCCTAAAATTCTGTACCCTTTAAGTACTTCAATTTTCTCTTTTGCCCATTAAGTTGACTGTTAATGATTTATTTTGTAATGTAATTCTTCTGAACTAATTTTAATGCAGTTTGTAAACTGGTTTATGTTCGCTGATGGAACTAGTTCAACCAGAAATTATATTTGTATGCACTCAACCTAGATGTAGCAGTGATTACATTCATAGGAATTTGGTTTAAAATTAGAATTTATATTGCTGTCTTTTGTATACTTTAATTTAAAAATAAGACTTGGCACGGCGAAGAGCTGCTACTCCAGAGGTTGAAAGTGGTTCTACTGTAATGCGGTCTGGAGCTCAACCCAAACTGTGAAGACGATTGGTTCGAAAGTGAAACATGTTGTTACGTGATAAATAATGTCACAAAAAAGAAACACCTTGGCGCATGCAAATGGTTTAGTCAGGTATACCATGTATCTTCCTTAATGCTGTGTCCCATGTTCTGAGACGGGTCCGTCAAGATACATGACTATGCAATTGTCTGGTCTTTGAGTGGCCCTAATACATTGACTTCAGAAACATAAAATACTTATAAATTCTCCAGATGAAAGTGTCCTTTATCTTCAACTGAAGAATGATGAAGCAGATGGAAAATAAAATAGCCAGAAACATGGTTATACATCTCACTTATTATTGTTAGTGCGGTTAAATCAGGGAATAATAGAGTGGACTTGTAGCTCAGATGGGGAAACTAGAAATGCATACAGTATTTTGGTAGGAATCTTCTTGGAAAATAACCATTTGCAAAGCCAAGGTGGTGGATAATGTTAAACCAGATCTTTACAAAAATTGAATCATATTGAAGGGGAGCATTCAGTCTGCAGGTTCCGTTACCAAAGTGCTCGAGATCCCCCTCCTGCAAAAATGGTCTGTTGTAACTACAAATAAGAATTGTATGTGAAAATAGATTATAAACATTCCTACATTCCTGTTCTGCGTTGATATGCCATGTAATCCTAGTGTTTCAGAAGATCATTCCACCTCTGGGCTGAATTGAGGAGGGTTATGAAATGGATCGTTTATGTAGGAGTAGGAGGAGGATAGTGCTGACGACCAATGAGATGGCGGCAAGAGTATGCTTTGAAGCCGAAACAGACCGAGATGAGTAGGAGGATTATTGGCCAGTTATAACCGTGGGCTGAGGAGGGGTGATTAAGCCGTCGAAAGAGCCCTTCTCCGGGTAGCAGAGAGGAAGGCGTTTCTTTTAAGGGTCCAAAAAGGAAAGTAGAATCAAGAGGAAGTCTTCTTTTTGAGAGGAATTTTTATATTTTTTCAGGGTGTGAATTGAGTCGACGCTTCTATGACCTGCACAGGGAGGACACAACCGAATTATCTGGCTTTACTGTGTGGACCTTAAACCACTATTTGTTGTATTAATGCTCTAGTGTGTAATTTTCTTACAGAAAAGACTAAAGCCAAGTGACTTCATCATTCATAAAAATAATTATACATTACGAAAGTCTCTTGGCTGCAAAGGAGAAGGTGGCTCCCTCTAAGTAGGCATGGCTTCAAGACCCAAATGCTCAACAAAATATTTGTGATACATGAAGTAGAAGTGCTGTAAAAAATCCCTGAGAACGTAGCATTTACTAAGGTGGAGTATATCGGTCTTACTCGTCTTCAAGGTAAGTAAGTGGTCAGCCATGTCTGATTGGCTTGTCAGGAAGTGCTGGAGGAAAGAGTTCTCGGTCAGGGGCATCCGTCTTTTTACAAGATGACGGAGAACCTTTAATGTACGAAATACGTTTCTTGGGTGAGATACGGTACAGGAGTTAAAAGAAATCAGAGTACCTAGTCCTCCAGCCATGTAATTGTGAATTTCTTATCAAGAGTTCGTTGTACTTTGACTGGCAAAAGAACACATTCCAAATTAATAAAAACCTTTCACATACATTGTAATAAACCACTGATTTAATTGCATTCATCTTTACAGTCGTGATAATTAAAGAATGAAGATGGCCGTCTTCTGGTAGACGTTTACCGACATTTCAGTGGCCCTCACTGCCTCCATCATTAGGGTTAAGATGGAGGCAGCAAGGACCAATGGAACGTCTGTAAACTTCTACCAGACTACACGGCGCAACAAACCAGAAGACAGCCATCTTCGGACTCACCGCCGTGAAAAAGTCAAATCCTATATAATGAAAGAATATTGTGAAGTCATAGAATTATAAAATACAAAGAGTACATTGGAGGTGCTGAAATATTACAATTCTTGTGTGTGTGTGAGCACATTCACAATTGAAACGACACGTAGAGTTCTATGACGTAGAATACACAAAACGAGAACTTTCGTTAATCAGTACATATAATACATATTTTCATATCACAGAATATTTTTAAACAAATCTGCACATTTCTTCACAATTGAATGACTAGTATTATTATTCGCATTAAAACCTATAAAAAAATTAAGTCAGCTGACACTTCATTTTATTATGAGTAGAAATTTGACTGAAGTGTCCTCCTACAAGTAATTGAGATCATATTGAAGGCATTTCTTCATGTTATCAGTCACTGATCCTAAATATCTGTTGTTGATGCCTTATTACGCAGCCTAACCGTCATTTGTGGGTTATTACAAAAGTTGACCTTCGTAGATTAAAGTTTAAGCAAAATGATCAATTTGGTTCAGCTACGCGGATACAATCTCGTCATATGTCGTGGTACAAGCTTTTGGTCTGTTTTTCAGCCTTCTCAGAAAATCTTAATCTGTAACGTGCGGCAGGACCTTTCAGGGAACAGGAAGAAAATGCTCGAGGTCCATTTTAATATTCTCGCATCCGTTCCTGGTTGGTCGTATGTGGAAACATTTCACGTAAATTGACGTGAGAAACGGATTTACTTTTCTTTCTTAAAATGGAGGTATGTATTTCATATCTGTACTACTACTGCTGCAGTGATTTTAATTTGAAACCATCTGTTTCTATTTTTATGTAATTTATTTTCTACCTAAAATAATAAACAGTGAAAATCTTCATAAAAAGTTAATTCATTGCTGAAAGGGCTAGGCAGCAGATGGCTCAGTTGCCAGCAGCCGGGGACATTGAAGGACCAGCGCGTCGGAATTTGCGTAGCGTATGACCTCAGTAAAGAACTTGTGTCGTGTGAAGGTCGCAAATTTAAGTACACTAAATTATTCTGGCTGAAGGGTCTGTGTAGTGTAATTATATCGTACATCATATAAATATGGGACACTTCATCCGTTCCCCTGTGTTTTCATGCAGTGCAAGACTGGCAAGCACTCCGAATATAATTAGCCTTATAGCGTGTTCCCACGTGAACTAAATTAACTGTGTGACAAGTACGCGGACATCATACACCAAATTCAAGATTTTTCCTTGAAACACAGAAACACCGAGGAGGTTTGTCCCTTAAGAACGGATAAATGAAACGAGGCTCGATGTGGCTGATCATGCACGACCTTTGTGCTCTTTACGGAATGAAGAAACCGACATTTACCGATCCTCGTAAACGTACCCATCCTCATGGGGAAATAAAAATATATGCCAGTGGGTTTCGTGGCTGTTTGATGTTCTTTGTGACGGCAAATAAAAAGGAATTTTAAACCCAGAACAGAGGATCAAGTTTCCTACGGAAAAGTAATAAATGTGTGAAGAGTGCACTCATAACTATCCTACTTCCACTTAAATGTAACATTTTATAACCATAAATAACTAGGATCTTGCTTCTGTCTGATTCCCATGCATTCATTTCTCTTTCAGAATATTTTGTGTTTTAGTTGCATCTTTTCAGAAAACCAATTTTGGCAACACTGCTTCTACCAGCATTTCACCGTCTGTTTTCTGGTCAGATAAGCCTCGTCAGTCTTTAAGTACGATCACTGAGTTTGTTTTAGTTTCCTTTTCAGCAGTAAGCTGTAGCCTTTCTTTACAGACGGAGCGCTGTAACCATTTTTGAAGACGGCCAGCGTGCGTCCTGTCCACGTATGCTCCTGTCCTAGCACCACGGCGCGACAGTCGTCGTCGTCGGTACAGATGTCGGCGGCCTCCTCCTCGTTGAAGACGGACATGACGCACCCCACGGCAGAAATAGACAGAGGGCATCGATAGTCGTGCAGCCCAGGCAGATCGCTGTCCGTCATCCGCTCGTATCCTGAACATGAGATGCACGAGCCTAAGCGTGATACAGCATTGGTACAGGTGTGTTTAGAGAAGCACGTGATAATCTGTATGGCTTATAGATATAGAGCAGTTTCTTTATTTAACGTCTGTCCATCTGACGTTTGTTCACCGATTCTCATGGCACGCAAAATTATATCACAGTTTGAATTTTATATTGTGGATCTGAAATTACGTGATCCATTTCCTGTTGGTACCGGATGTTTGCCGTCAGTGCCTTCCGAACTGTGGGCTTATTACCATTTCATTTCAATGCCTGCCATGAGGAGGGCCGCAGGATTTGAGGTTTTCGCAGCGGCAAGTACAATCGTGCTGCTACAGCCCAGAAGACCGCCATGTTTGGAAAAGGTATATTTACTGCATTAAATTGTAGGAAAGGGACAGTCTCAGAGTTTAAATTAAAAATCTTTAAATTTGTCCAGTTTGTAAGTTTTTCATGGGCAGTTAAACGTTTTGCAACACGCAAGTGTTTTATGTTACTCGTCGGCAATAGAAAGGTTGGTAGGAATGGACCGTGGGGCATTACCGCTGGTGCTGCTGTGCTTAGTGCTGGGTTCAACCATGTAGTCGCCAGACACAAAGCGAGCCACTAGTCGCTGGGTCGCCCCCAGGATGCGAGCGGAGTTCCAACCGCCCGCAGCAGGACGAGCATACGCCGCAAGCAGTTCCTGTATGTGGGGCTCGAGAGACGCCGGCGCACTCAGGGGAAGAAAGAGTCTGATGAAGTGCTGCCCCGCATGCCAGATGTTGAGGCGCTCATTGTGGCCGACGCACCACGAGTCGACGCACGACAACCCCTCTGTGGTATTTGCATCATTTATATTGTTTTCATCCCTGCAAACAGAAATGACAGGAAATCATTCATAAGAAGCAAGCGGTCGCTCAGTAAAGAAATTCCCTGTTCTGAGCCAGATTAATCCAATCCACACCATCACAGTTTCAAGATCTTTTTAATTTGATCCTTCCATACCTAGGTTCAAGTTCTGGCTCTTACTTTTCTGGTGTGCTATCACCGCCGATAACACAGTCTGCATCCGTTTCACAAGCTGGTTCACCGACTCCCAAGTCATCGACGTCTGATAATTTTAAAGTCCCTCCAACAAGCACGAACTGTTGGCGACGGAAGTCGTTCATGGACAGCGATCCGAGCGGGGAGTGAGCCAGGTGATGCAGAATCTGGGAAATTCCTAGTGCGAGCTGCGAATAAACAACACAATCATAATTATTAACATCATTTCCATGTGACGTCACTTTACTGTGGCCCTACAAGCATCTGCGAAACTATCTGTTAAAAGTTACTGTCACACTTTTCTGATTCCAGCATTTGCTTTGATGTCTTTCTGCATTTTATAAGATGTTCCTCTCGCTCTTGAATAAAACCTTTAACACTGCGTACATTTTGCGTGTGTTGCAGAGTGAAAGAACATGTATGCAGTGAATATCTTGTATTGCCCATAAAATAATACTAAGATGGCTGTCTGTACTCTTCAGTGTGAAGACATCAAATATATACTTTCGGAACTGCTTTATTGGTTTTCCTGCCTACCCTCAGTCTGTCTTCCCACGAGAGCTGCAGCAGACGCACAGTGTCGAGGGGATCTCCTAGTTCTGTTACCATGGCAACCGGACCCACTGCATCAGGAACGCAGGACCCCAACACCTGAAAATTACCCAAAAGAAAAAAAAGTTAAAATGACGCTTACGAGTCTTGACTGTGCTCATAATTTAATTTTCCCTGTTTCATTTTCATTAGTTTTACAAAAGGAAGACATCAAAGGTGATGTTCCACGGGGTGAGTAATTGCCTGCCCTTGGGTTAAATTCTGCTCAGCTGCACATTCACCCTTGTTCCGACAGTTTGCCCTCCACCACGGCAACGTCACGGAAGTTAGTGTTAACATCTTTAAAATTTGCATCAAGGAGTTTGTAAGATAAAGGAGAAGTGATGTACTGTTACGAGTTTCTGCATAGTTTTGAACAGAGCGCAAGAAGCCCACCGAAATTCAATGAGGGATGATTTCTTTGCTGCTGTCCGTTGCCCTCTTTCATCAGTGTCTTTACCTCATATTCCGTTCTCGTCCCTCAAAACTTTGGAACAGCACTTAAGGGACACGAAGCAAAAACCAGGCTTGCCTTAAGACCGTACTGATTCACGTCAAAATAAAACTGGAACGATGTCCCGAATTGTTTAAACTTTGCAATTTGTCCCGTCTCCGCTTCAATAAAGTGAGAATTTCTCTTCGAATTTACAGGAAATACAAAGTTCAACTTCCAATTGACTCCCGATGTTATACTTATTTCAGCAGAGTTCGCGTACTGCATATTTTAAAGCGACTGTCGTCGGTGACGTTTCAGAGGAACTGGATAATGCCGAGCTAATGGCTGTCTTAAGTCCACGTCAGCAGGCACTCGAACACTCGAGAGTTGCCTACTGAGCTTTCTAGGAATTCCATTAAACTATACGTATTATTCATAAGTAGTCTGCCCCTTCACAGCGAGGAGTAAATGAATGGAGAAGTGAGGTTAGGTCTTACTTCAACTCATATTTGTGCAGCGAAAGTGACTTTTATTTATTTTATTATCAGAAACATTTTTCAGAACACAATTTTATTAATTTTACAAACATTGAAAAAAATTTCCTGCTGCTACGTACATTTGCGATTAATTAATAAGCGCATGTAACGTGCTGTTCAAGCATCCGCCATTTAAAGTCAATTTAGTTCACTTTTTGACACCAGATGTCATTTCTAAGTGTTCCCATTTATGTGTCGTGTGATTAGTAGCAAGTGGACTTTGGTTCGCTTTGTGCCTGACAGGTGAGTGAGTACGAGCTTACTAAAGTTCCGTCTCGAATGGCGTGCTTTTAATTTCTTCTTTCAGCCTATCTGTCTTGCACCGATCGCCAGGATGTTGCGCCTGCAGTGTGGTAGATGCAGACGCGCTAACTTTCACCGCGGAGGCCCGTAGTACTCCGTGCAGAATGAGTGAGGACGCCGTCCCCTGAGGCTGAGAGCGTTCATGTCCAGGGTCGCTTCTACGGAGGTCCTGACGCAGAGTAATTGGCGTCGTGTCCGTGAAGTTCCTACGATGTGCCAGGAAGTCCTCAGAGGGTTTGTCGTAGTATCCATTGTCGCAAGTGTTTATTTCTAGAGCGGGTGATACTTGGTTCTTGACAACGAGAAAGAGACGTGTGCCAGCCGCGTACATTGTTGGTGGATCGCAAAACAAAAAGCAGGATTCTGATTGGACAATGGGCGATTCACGAACACAGGTATGTGGAAAAGGCAGCGTGATTATAAAATAATCAGCAATAAAGGAATTTCATGTAAGGCAGTGGACATTCTTATTGAGCAGAAATTAATTGTTATTTCTGTTTGTTCACAGAGGCATTAAAAAATGAAGAAGGAAAACTGCCTAACGATTTCTCGTCGTGTCTGGCTGTTACACAGAAGCGTACTTCACACTCGCGAAGTAAAATTTCCCTAATCTAATTTTAAGAAGAGAGGTGACCTGATTAAAGACGAGGTGTGCGCGCTGGCTGGTCTTTGAGTGGCAAAGTTTCCACAACGTGTGGCTGCACTTTCTAGGAAAATATTGTAAACCCTAGATCAGTTTCCTGTAATATGTTTATCTGATGTTATTTTAATGTTACACAACGCAAAACGAAGTAATTTGTGGACTTTTTTTATTTTACTTGCAATTTCTGATATTGTACAGAAAGTTTTGAATGACGCAATCAATTTATAATGAGAAACGCGTTTTCAGACCTTACCGAAGGGATTTTTTCAAGCAGTCGAAGTGAGAGTTGGTCACTGCTGTAATTTCTTGTAAGTGGTGGAGTTCGAAGCAAAGGCTCGTGTGTCATCGTAAGTACGGAAGAAAACAGCGCGCTACGTTTCTTCTACGTTTAGATCTAGACGGATACATCTTACAGAATATAAATATTTCGCTTGACGTACTTCAGTAATCATCGAAATGTGACCGTGAAACGTTCCTCATCCGACATTCCCGTGAAATTACGCAAATCTTAGGCATTTTCAATCTGCAATTAGTCTTACAAGATCGCAGCATCCGACATCCACCGAGGTTTCATTCTTAACCTTGGCACTGGATGGTGGTGAGTGATTAGCTACCCGCTCCGGCCGATTTACCCCGGTCACAGAATGAATATCAAGCGGTGTGGGGCCCAGGGCCAGCGCGGGAAAGGAATTTCCATGACACGACGGGAAATCTTTTCCCGTCCATGCACCAGCGCCTCTATCGTGATCCGGCAACACACGCATCTGCTTCAGATCAACCACAGCTGTTAACTGATTGATATTCGCTTGTTTGTCACGCGCGGTTGCCATCCGGGTTGTCTTCGACAGTGTGCCTCCGGTCGCTCTAACTCCGGTATAGCAGCCAGACATTACCCGCCCACGTGACACCTGCGTGGCTAATCAATCAAATTTCTGTCTGACCGTCCTCGAGGTGACCGACCAACGCCACGAAACTACAGTCTGACCCAGAATACAGGCGATTACTCGCGTTTGTAGTAAGAGTTATTCCTTCTAAGTTGTATTGCGGGACGTTATATGACATTAGGTTCGTAATTTAATGAACACGCTCTGACATTATGATTATACGTGAGTCAAAGTAATTGCAAATGGCTCTTTACGCCAGCCAACTCCCCTGACCTTTGATGTAACATGTGGTCTCAGTCTAACCTGGTGGTTTCTGAACGTATCGACACTCGGTGGCCTTACGGAGAACACCCCACGGCTTACAGGACGCTGTTTTATCAACCTTGAGGAAATTTCCGTCTGGGACGTTTGGTCTGCACGATTCCTGAGTAGTTTCAATGTCTGTTAAGGATCCACTACATGTTTCGACTTTACTTGGTCATCTTCAGGTGGTGTTCTTTAAGTCATTGTGCAGCGTCTTCTACGATCCGACCTTGCAATGTTTTAGGTTTTGTGCTGTTGGTTACAAACGGAGAGAATTTTGAACATCACTCGATGTCTTTTGTAAAGGAAAACATGTTGAAGGGAGTTTGTATTCAGGGGAGGGTTTTTAGGGCAGGGTCGGCGTCGTACGAAGTCAGAGACACGCAGAAATAATTTCAGAAAACAAAAATTGGCAACTGGCAGACGCTTCATGTACATCTCCGCCAAATTGTTTTGCAGCGAAAGCTCAGTTTTAATGCGAAACGAGCCTTACTCCCCCCCAAAAAAGAAAAACCTTTTGTAGTGCTCAGTGATATAATAATTGCAGTTTTTCAACACAAAATGAAGCTTGGTCATCTCCCATGCGCATTCCACAGAAGTGAAATTATAAGCGACATCACAAGAAGATGTAATTAACCTTTGTTATTTCCTCATAGAATGACCTTTGATGCGATCACAGAGGTGACCTCGTGTCATCGCCTCGTGTTATCTGATGACGTCAGAAGTTGGGGAAAAAAAAGATGGCGTACATTTTTTGTACGGTATCGGAAATACTTTGGTTTCGGATCAGTTCTGAAGCGTCTTATTTACACAGCATCAACCTCACTATCAATTACTAGTGACGTTACTCTCATAGACACGCTGATTTACGAGTATTTCTGTGGTGCTCGGCTAGCAACGCCACACAGCGGAATATCGCAGAATACGAACTTCAACTTTTGCGTCCGAAAAAAGACAAATGAAACAGGAAATTGCGTTCACACGTGTCCATAAGACGACGCAATTGCGCCTGCAACCGAACGCATACTAAAACCAGCGCAGAGATGCTGGGAGGTCTGGCCGGCCTCAGGTCCACTGGGTCGACTCCTGTGAACACAGCAATGAAACTTCGGGCTCATAAAATACGGGGGTGGGGGGTGGGGGGTGGAAATCGCTTGGCTTCTAAGAGGCAGAGAACTTGGCCCCGTTCGTGTTATTAAACTCGTATTACGACAGAGAATCTCGGCCAACCGCGTAATCGAACACCATTTCACCGAGGTTTATCGCCGTCATCAACATCTCTGCTTTATGTTACATGACACACAATCGTATTAACCTCTTGTCCTTTTTAATATTATCGTCACATCTCTGTCTTGGTCAGCCACAGAATTGGAGAAGGTTCATACATTTATCGTGTGCTTAATTTGAATCCATAAATGTTTATAGGATTTGTTTTAAAGTTTCAAATCCGCCATACAAACTAAGAGACAGAACAAAATGTATTTTGTACGCGATCTTCAGTGTCTTCTGTTGTAAAAAGAGAGGCCGTGCGCGATGTTACATCAGACGAAGACCATTATCAGAACAGAGCCTCTGAAAGGTCAAATAGAATTCTGCGAGCGTCAACAATTTTAAAGGAACGAGATTCTCCGAAACAACAGCCCTCATTATGGTAACAAGCTGCTGTTCTGTGCACAACAGAACGTGGAAGCTCTAGGAAAATACCAAAATGTCGCCCCTTTTTCCCGACAGTCGCCCGCATCACACAAGAGTCTCGACGCCGCTGAACTGAGGCTGAGCTAAACGCTGGTCCATTTAGCAAATCCCAGTGTTTGTTTGGTCACACACATACATCGTCCTGGTGCTGGAACTGCCCTCCTCCTGCGATGTGTCGTCACCATGGTAACAGAATCTACCCCCATAGCAACGCCTCTGGACCGGCATCATGACAGGGCGGGAACGGGGAGGGGTGCAGA